TATAAAGCATAAAATGAATTTTATTTCATTAAATACTGCCTTTGGGATCATAAAGGTCATTCTAAATGACTACTTTATTATTGCTCTTGTTTTAGTCTCTTTTTCTTATATTCTTTTTTTTGGGGAGGGGGAGATTTTAAATTTTGTTTTATAAGTTAATATCAAGCAAATCCACATACTGACTTTGTTTATGCAATATATATAGATAAATTATTATTATCTCTAAAAATAAACAAATAAAAATTATTAATATACAAATAAAAAATAATTAACTGACCTCAAAGGAATCCCCGGATGAAGAGAAATTCATTTCATGCATTACTGAATATGAACAAAATAAAACAACCATATACATGAAAACACTTCTAAGATGGACGAAATTCACCTATTCATAGTGCTATATCGCTTTGTCTCATTATGTCACTATGGGCTACTTTCGCTGTGCCCATCTCAGGTGTCGAACCCCAATATTTAGCGTTGTAAGTCCTCAAGTTTCCCACTGAGCGACTGGAAGACAAGATACTACTTGAGTACTAAATCTGATATTGAGTCTCTGATCCTGCCAGTGCTCTTTGCAAGTTTCAACAATGATTTATAGCTGCGTGAGAACAAGCTCGTGTGACAATAAATTCAAATTGGTTGGTCTCTATACACATTTCCGCCATGTTAACTTTGATTACGCTACAATGAAGAATAATACTTTCATTAATATTTAGCCTCTATACATAAGAATATTCTTAAACAAATAAATCACAATGGTTACGTAGTGTCCATCTTTACAAAAAAAGGGCGACGAACTTGCTCAACAACAGAACTATAGGAAACACTGTTGCGTTAATATGTTCACATAAAAACGTGAATAAACTACTGAATTTAAGAATTTTCATGCCTAATATTTTTCGCTACAAAATACACTACACCAAAAACATGTCAATTATTTTGTATTAAAGTATCATATTCAGACTTTTTCAAGCTTTAAACAAAAATCTGTCGACAAGCCACACCTTGGTCGACGACTCATCAGCAATTCAAATGTTTTGAATAGAGAATGTCCAGCTGTATGTGATTCTCAGAAATCTGGAGTAGGCGCAGGCCATTCTAACTCATCGTTCAGTAATCTATAGCATGTGAATTACTATATGTATGGAATCTAGGTTGAATTTCACTCACGTTTTATCCTTCTCGAAATCACAATTTTAACGATGAGAGAATAAAGAAATAGATATGGTTTGTTTGTTTGGAATTTCGCGCAAATTACACGAGGGCTATCTGCGCTACACGTCTATAATTTAGCAGTGAAAGACTAGAGAGAAGGCAGCTAGTCATCACCACCCAACTCTTGGGCTACTCTTTTAACAACGAATAGTGGGATTGACCGTCACATTATAACACCCCTACGGCTGAAAGGGCAAGTATGTTTGGTGGGACGGGGGTTCGAACCCGTGACACATGCCAGGCCCAATAAATATGGATTAATCGCACAGAAAATATAAACAAGTGTTACAGAATTGAACTAATCTATCAGTTTTGTATGCCGCCCCATGAAGATATGCTTCTTATATGTATCTCAAGAACTAGAACCTTAAATTTGTCTGTACGTTGTAATACCTGAATTTATTATGATCAAGAGAAACTACAAAGTTAAAATTACTTTATTCAGAATTAAAGCGACGATCCCATTTTAAAAAGAGTTTTAAAAAATAAAACCTAAAATATCACAACTTTCTTGTCACTAAAAACGACCAAGTTTCTGCGAGTCGATTTCTGAAGAGTAAATTGGAATTGCGGTGTTCCGGCTGCCAATGCTGATGGATATACGACCCCAACTGTTCACTGAATATGAACTTCTGTGACACGTCGCTCTATATCTGTTTACATTTAACAGAATAGCCCCAGGACAAACTTGGCAGCTGAATATATTGTTACAGCAACAAAGTTTACTGTTTCACAAATATATACGGTTCAAAAGTTCACGCTTGGGTGAACTTTCCAATTTCACAAAATCAGTTAGCAAAATTAAATTTGTGTTTTATAGCTAATTAGTTAGTTAGTTACACCAGCTCTAATTTAGTAGTTCCCACGTTTCCAAAACAGTTACTCGGATATAAAGATCATAGATACTTATGTTTCGCTACTGTGATGCCCTGAATTCTTACTTGTTGTTTTGAGGTGATCATTCGGACACGTTTGTGCAAAAGTATACGTTCACCTTACATCTCGTTGATTTTCAGTAAATACTAACAACGAAATTACTAAATGACCTTATTTAAATTTTAAATATCCGGAATATCACCGTCATTATATGTATAATTCTAGAATGCAATATTGTTAAAGTCTAGCGACGATTATTTACAAAAAAAAACACAAAAAATGATATCGACACATGATTGTTTTATGCAACCAACAGTGGCCAATGTAGTTTTTAATTGTTTTCTAATTTTATATAGAATCCATTGTCAATTTCATGTAAGTGAAATATATATATATATATGTGTGTGTGTGTGTGTGTGTGTGAAGAAATAATTAATTAAACGGATATTACTCAATATACGTGGAAATTAAACCGTGCGTCTACTTACTGTATAAGTGCACGCACAAAATCAAATTCTCTTCTAAAACCAAGGTCTGACCAAATGAACCTTTTAACAGGTGAAGAGGCAAATATCTTATCCGATATTATTTCAGACAATTCAATATATAATGTTACTGAGAAAAAAAAAACAGTTATTTAAGTCGGATAATTAGTATATCCCCCAAAAAATCAGGCTGACGGCCAATTCGCAATAATGATGACGTTTGTACTCGTCAAATTATTGTTATAATTTTGTATTATGATCATCATCTAGTACTAAAAGTTGCACCTTTTATCTTATTTTCTGCTGAACTTGGTAAAAAAAGAAAATCACTCTGACAAAGAGTTTTATCTAAAATGACACTTTCCCTGTAGTGCATATATACAACAGCTTTTCAGGTTCACCTGTTTTCCAATTTCTTAACAATAATGTTTAAATAAGACAAAACTATACAAAAAAAAAACAGGAATTTATGCAAATCCTGATGTTTTGTTTTAACTTATTTAAGCAATAAAATATGCAATACAACATGGAGTCCCATTCCTTTTAAAAATTCGTGCTTTTTTGAACAATTTCTTCAAAGAATAGCCACAACAATAGTAATACTTATTTCAAATTCACTTTATCTATAATTTAGAGGTATATCTATTTTATAATTACACAAAACTGAAAAATCGGTTGTTCAGTACAAACAGTTTTGTGAATTTTGTAAAACTAGAATTACAATTTTTAACCTGAACGGCACTTACGTTGCGTGGGCGAAACAGCCAAGCCAGACACCCTTAAGATTTAAATACAAGCATTTCTAGTTTTAGATTACCAACCTTTAGAACACCCAATGCCACATCAGCTTTGTTTGGCTTTTTGAACCAAATATTGGATTGACAGCTTTTCTTATAACGCACCCTTATATCAAAGTTTAGAGCGTGTTCATTGGCACCACGTTTCAAATCCTGGGCCCTTCGCTCCACTAGACAAGCTCTGGCCCTATTTAGCAAAACAACTAATACGTTAGGCCAAGCAACCTAAGGTATTTTGAGAAATATGTAGTATAAAGTATAAGGTAAAATAACGAGTTTTAGTACAGCGCCACCACTACTTTTTCTTTCACCTAAAAGTTCAGAAGAAAAGAGTTGTGACAAAAATGTGTCAAGTCTGAAGCTATATAAAAGACCCTCAAGGTAACTCGGCGGTAAGTTTGTGGGCTTATAACGTTAAAATTCAGGATTCGATATCTGAAGACAGAAGCGTCTTGCTGCTAAATTGTTTTTTTTTGGAGGGCACAGTCGAAAAAAAAGTATTTTCGTTATAGATGGTAGTAATGGCTGGAGACGGCTTGAATGGGTAATGAAGAAAAACTGATGATGACAAAACCTTGTCGAAACGTTGTACATTTGCTGTTATGTTAAACTTATATTAAAGTTTTTCTTCATTACCCATTCAAGCCGTCTCCAGCCATTATTAGTCTCAAAGTGGGTTCCTCGTCATCGAATTATAGATGGTAGGTTAATAATAATCATACAAATAATAACAAATGTGTGCCTTTTACCACTTCATATTATTAAACTTCCACTGTTATTTTGTTTAACTTATTACCAGTTTCTAATACAGACAAATATTTTGAAGTTTATACATGGATATAGGACTATTTAAAAAACGAGCAGAAAGCTTTTGGGATATGGGAAGGGGAGTGCCCACCAGTGGACTGTGTGCAGAACGCATACATTCCATTGTATAGCTGTGCGCTTAAACAAATCAAACAAAGCTATATTAATAAGAAAACAAAGCACGCGACGTAGTAGATTTAGTGCCATCTAATACGGGTGTCATTCAAACCGATAAAAATGTCTCAATAATACTTTAAAGTCGCTTCAAACATGAACAAGCACAGTAAAGAAAAAATACAGACTGGAAATGTTCATATGCGTTCAAAATATATCTGAGCAACAAGTTTTAGTCTGGAATTTAGCAATACACTGTAAACGGCTCAAACACAGAAGCTTTGTGCATTCCAAATAAAACTGTTCTGATGTTTTATTGTCATCAACAGACCGCACGTTAGTGCTCTAAACCTCTAATGACTTACCAATAAATCAGCAAACAAAAAGCTATATAAATTAAATAGTTATAAGTCTTGTTAGCAGTATATCGTTAACATGAGGATACCCAACTGATAAATCCATATATTTTAATCGTAATAACAAATATATTAAAAAACTGACATCGCATACTCCTAATTAGCTCAATTATTCCTGGGTCAAATTTTAGTTCTGATTCTATACTTTAATCCCGAGTTATTTGTAACAATCATTTTAAGGAATTAAATAGTTTGAATCATATGGTACAGTAAAACCTTGAAAATAAGCAAAGTTTGTTATATTAATAACTGAGTGCAAAATACTATTTATAATAAATATTTTCACTTACTGTTTGATGGAATCCAATATTCACAACGGGTGATGACATGTGGGAGAAAAGTAAAAAAAATAAAAAAATACACAATTTAACAACAAAACTCGTACGATGTATCTGCACAATAACTAATATGAAAATTTACAACATAATATACATACAAAAAAGGCTATTGTACTTGTAAAGTGATTCACTGACACACGCAAAGAAACAGCTCTGGCACAAGAGGAAACCATACACACATCTGACACTACAGCGTGCTCTGTACATCCACTCCACCCCTAAGGATGTTAACACAACGTTAAGGGAGTTACTTGTAACCAATCGTTATCTTACAAAAACACACTGCTTAAAAAAAATCTTCCTTTTCAAATTATGCCATGAACATACGATACACCATATGTACATAAAATCAAGTTCTTCTATAGGGATAAATACTATACATACATACATAAAGTGCAAGTAAGGAGAGAAACATTTCAAAATATCCAGAAATAATACTTAAGATTTCTTTAAGCCGTGATTAAATAACATCACGTTTGAAATTGATAGCTTAGCTTAAATATACATTTTTACATTTTAACGCAACTGCATAAACCCATTAAGCTATAACAAAAGCTCTAGAAACGTGGGTATACAACCAATGTCAACCTGTGATCAAATGAATGTTGAGTATCTTAATTTATCAAAAATACGTTGTTGATACTGCGGTCAATAGCATTCAAAAAGATAGGTAAGACGGGCTTTCTCCATTTTAATATTTTTTTTTAAATACCTTTCTTGTTTGTTTGTTTTAATTCTCATATTATTAGTTAATAATATTCTGACAGAGAAAATCACTATTAAATTAGTTCAATTTTAACGGGATTTAAGTTAGGTAAGGCAATTTACATAACTGTTGTAGTATACAGGTTTAAGTGGAAATCCAAATACACGTGCGCCGGAGCAGGTCCGGCAGACCGGGCAGCAGTCTGGCCAACATTTTGTCACAGTAACTGTAAGGTTTTTAAAACTATAACTTGCAATTCAAAAGTTGCCTGACCAATTCAAAATTGCTTCCTCCACCCCTGATATACCAAAGATGGTATTCAGTAATGTACTAAAATTTTTGGAAACCTACTTCCAAAGAACAAACTGTGTGGCTTGTTCTATGGAAACAATAACTGAACATTCTCTCCAACTTCTTACTTTGTATAACTATACTAAATGCCACAGAGTAAACTGTGACCAACAAATGTGTGTGTTACATATTTAAGTTGATGATCTAAGTAAAGCAAAATATATAGAATATTCAAATCCTAATGTTCTACCTCTAGTCACACAACTACCACATTTGCCACACTAAGTTACAAATGACAACAGTACTAATAATATGAAATAATTCTGTCTTATGTATTATTTTTTTTAGATAATGAAATCAAATAACAAAATCTCTCATGAAAGATGTTGCACATCAGATCTTGCTTTCTTACATTTTATAAAGTAGTTTAAAAGAAGACATGTATGAAACATCTGTAGTTAAATCAGGAAATGATAAACTTATTTGTTACAAGATATTTCTTGACATAAACTATTCACAAGAGCATCATTTCTGTAAACCTAATTTACTTGCACTACATGACAGAAATAAACTTTCACTGAAAAACACCAGCTCTTTACCTGCCAATGTAATAAAACATTCGACAATGAGAATATATAAAAATTCTAAATTTATAATTTTTTCCTTATTAGAAAATAATAATCATTTAAATATTCAATTAATGAAACGGTAGAAACACACTTTGATATTCATAACGGTTATATTAAAACTTTATAAAATGATGGCTACGACAACTTTTCTCTGTTATCTGGATGGACTGAAGTCATACAGGTTTTTTCTAATGTTAGAATGTGATTTAAGAAATATAAGAATCTGAGCTTGTAAGGAGCAAATTTGTGCTATCCAATTTGATAAAAGTGTGACCAGTATGTTTAGCAACAGCTGAATGAAATCAGTAGAACTGTGCACTGTACATTTCTCATCTAATAAATATCTACATATATAAATCAAACATGGGCTTCAGAAATGACCAACTAGTGGATGATATCAAGTGAAATTTTCAAGATGACCTCTAATAGTTCTGTGTTCCTCAGAGTCATTATTATTTTAAACAGTTCAGAGGATTGGCTTTAACATTAAAGTACACATATTACTTTAAAATTTAGAGCATGTTTTATTAAAAACTTGTCAGATGCAGTTGATGTAAGTCCATAACAACAAAAATAGTGCCATTCTGTAAATTCACAAAAAGTTTTTAGGTTAATTAAAATTTTGTTTTACTAATATCTGCTAGTATTCTTAGAAGAGCACTGTGAAACCCAGAGAAATACATGTTTTGGCAAGGTAGGAGTTATCTTCAGCTAAGACAGTTTCTTTTCTAACAAGGTGGCCTCTGGATGTTGTGGAGGCAGTATATTTGAGTGTGTTTAAGAGAAAACTTAACAACTATATGAATGATAAGGGCTGGCTTTAAGGTTTTAATTAATTTAATTGTTTTATTTAATAGTTTTAGTTTAGAGGATGGGACAGCCAAGATGGACCAATAGGTCCCTTGTTGTCCCTAAATATTACGTTATGTTATTACAATTATTTTATCAGAAAAGACTAGATCAAAGGTACAATTGTTTTAAGTATATAAATAACACTATATACATTTAAAAAATATTATTTGACAGATTGTGCAGAGATTGTATTTTAAATACATCTTAAGCTGGAGCTCTTTTGGCATAACAAAAAATTCTTAATCATCCCTAAATCTGATCAACTCTATTTTAGAACCTAATTTCAATTTTTTTTTCAAATAATAAAAACCAAGAGCACTTTAAAGTCAGAATACTTCTACTTCATACACAGTACATAAAAAAAGGTATTTTTTGTATTTGCTATGGAATTTTTTATTCAAAGAATTCATAAACATGTAGCACCAGATATTATCCATTACCCAAGAATAGTAAACTGTATTAATATCATTTAATTTATTGATTGATAATGATAAATAATTAGTGAAAACAAATTAAAAGGAGTATCATAAGTAAAACTTTAATGTGCAACATTTAAAACTGAGAACTTAAAAGGAAATTATTATAAGGAACATTTTGCAGAATTAGCCATGGTACCATACCTGTAAAAATGTACCTTGTAACGGCAGCTGCAAATTACAGTTTTAATAATTGAATAACACAAATACAGTTCAAGCTATATAATATCTAAAATGATGTAACCCGTGTTCACATATGGGTCTGTGTTTATTTTTACCTCCAGAAACCTATTTCTCTGTAATTTTAACTAAAGACTGTGCGAAATGAAAATTGTGTTTTATATTAGGCTGACTTATAATACAATATTAGAGCTGAGAAATTAATTGATTAAGTGTCAGGCTCATTAGTCAACTAGATTCAACTAATTGATTATCCTCACATGAGACTTACAGAGTTGGAATCAATGAACATAGTAATAATCAGAAACATTAATTTTTATTACTTGACTTTTTTTTTAAGAAATGATGCTCATAAATAATTGATTATATCAAACAATTGAGTTAATTACCCAGTCTACATAAAATAAATTTTAAAAGAGCATTCTTATATTTATGAAATAGTGTAGTTTCCTACAGATAATTTTACCTTTATACTTGAACTTAACTGTTAGATTTAGTTTGATCAGAAGAGTTCACCTCTATGTGTAACCACAATGTGAGGAATTCTGTATCTGTAATTGGTGTTTTGTTAGGTTGTTAGATTCAGTGGATTAGCCTTTGTAGATCATTGTCACAACATGTATGTCATCAGAAGTAAGATCTTTCTGGGTAGTATTCTTATTTTCAATTGATTTGGCTACATGCAAGAGGATTAACAATGGGGCTAAAAACTGATATTAATATACCCACATTTTATAATACCATCATACGTTTTGATATGTGCAGCAAAAATCCACCAATGTTTTAAGTCAGGAAGAAACTTATTTGCAATGCATATTAACAATTTTTTCTTATTAAGAAATTTGACTAAATGCACAGTATTATTAAATTGTGGTTATAAAAGATACCTGTATAAGAACATCTAATAGAGCTCTATTTACCATCACTTGAATACTGGTTAAGTAAACATTTTAGTGTGTTTACCAGTCCATACAATTGCATTCTTGCACAAAAGTTAGCCTTAAGACTATTATCACACAAACAAGAGGATTAAGGTGGCAACTGTTAGTTATTGAAACTAAAACAGTAATCATAAAAAAAATATTTGTTTTACAATATAATGCATGATTCTGAAGAGCTTAAATGGCAAATACATTTCTGTATCTCAAAGTTTCTATCAAAGAACCTATTCCAAGGTACGAGTTAAGTTTGAGATACATTACAATTACGTACCTTGCATACAAGTGTAGTATACACTTGGAAGTGTTCACATATGATACTCAACAAAAGATGCCTGTGCATCTCTGTTTTTTCTAAGAAAAAATTCTATGATCTGATAATGTTGTACATGCACGTGTGTGTTAATCGGATACCTGATGCCTGACAGAAAAGCCAAGAGCTTCTACATGAATGCTGGTTCGGGATTGTTAAGCACTGAACAAATTGAATATAGGCAGCAAAGGAAACTGAGTGAACACAAACAAACAAAATATTTATTCACACTAATGTCTGGAATGTTGCCAAATTGCTGGCTGGTTTCTAATTTGTGTGACTATAGTATGGCTGCTGAGGTTGATAGAACAATAGGAAAAAAAAAACTTTTCTATCCACGTTGAAACCTTAATAAGATATCCCACAAGTCCATAGGTTACATACTTCAATCAACAGACATTTACATACAATTCATCTCAAATTTAAAATGAAGTACAAGTAGACAAATCATCATTTGCAAGTAAAATATTTTTGAGAAATATATGAAGATATTTCAAAACTTGTCAAATTTATGATTCTACATGCATACAAACATAATACTTTACAAAGCTTAAGAAGTATGCTGGTATAGTTCTTAAATAATACTAGACAGATGTAAATATTTAAGTATTATTCCATGAGATGTGCTTACTTAACAATTTATGCAAGACAATCCTTCAAAAAGATACCCATTTTTCATTGTTTATGCCCACAAATAATTCTGTAGAGAATCTTTCAAGAATTTAACATCAAACTGCTACAGTACATCCAATGATGGCTAAAAACAAAATTTGTGGTACTACAAACCATTAAAAAAAGTGAACATCTGTCATGACATTTGACATGAAAATATGACACTTATTACATTTGTACTTTATATTTAAGACATAAATATCAATCACTAAAAGTCTATG